GCTGGTGGTTTTGAACCGCTGACCTTGCGGTTAGTAGCGCCACCGTAACCCGCTATGTCACCTATAACTGGGTTGAGTTCCAGGTGGCACCAGTTTGTACCTGGTATTAAATCCTCTTCCCGGCCCTTCCCTCTGAGGCACAGGGTTCTGGGATTATCCTCCGGACCCGGTTCACCTCGTCTCTCTAGTTGTGGTTGTAGACAATCACTGTCGCGGTTGGCCACGTCCACCACAACAAGCATTTTTAAATAACTGCCTAGCCTCCTCTTGCCTGGACTTGCCGTGGACTGCCCACCCGCTCTATAGTGGTGATCGCCTCCATTCTGGTCTCCCAAACAGCCCTGGACAGCCTGCTCCGGCGGCTCACGCATGCTTATTTTCTGTAGGATCATTTCCTAGCAATGGAGTTTCCCAGGAAAGGGTTTCCTGTAAAAGGTAAAATTCCCCAGGGTTTTAAAGGCTTAGTATAAAGGATGCTTTCCCACCCACTGGCCGCTCCTCCCGCCCCTCCCGGAGCCCAACGCTAATACCGCTGTTGCCTTGTGGCGATGGGTGTGAATGTTTTTCCACATCCTCACCAACTCTGGGTATTTATTATCCTCTGGAAGCTCGGGCTGGCTTGATTGGCATGATGCCCCGCCCCCTTCGAGCGGTCCATCTGCGTGCCGCTGACTGACTGTTTCTCCCCTTCCTGGTTTCTGTCCTCAGATGTCTGGCGTGCTCCTCATCGGCCTAGGCACCTGGATGAATGGGAAGGCTGCCCTGACGAGGGTCCTGGGGTTGTCCTCCGTGCACCTGCTGCACATCGGCTGCCTGAGTTTGGCCATGGGGTGTGGCACGGTGCCGCTCGGCTTGGCTGGGTGGTATGGAGCTACTAAAGAGCACCGAGGGATTCTCTTATTTGTAAGTCTGATCGACATACAGCCCCCGGAGCCTCCCCGCTCACGGGCAACCCTGCCCTTGTTGTTGCTAGGGACCACGGTGTGTCTGGCCTCTAGCCACCCCCTGCACAACAGAACAGAATACCACCTGGTCCTGAACCATCTTCACAACTGTGCCTGGGCTTGAACCCCTTGCTGTCCCTCCAGCTCGTTGGGGGCCCTTCTATTTCATTGCCCCTCCACATCACCAAGCGGATGTCCTCCGGGGACTGGCTTCTCCTGGCCTGTCCAAAGTATGGGAGATGAAGCCTTGCGTCCTTGCCTCGAAGGAGCCTTCTGGCTGTGCTTCCAAGGCAGATCGATTTGTCCTCTAAGCGGTCCACCAGCCTTTCAACATTCTCCAGCCCGCGATTCAAAGGCATCGACTCTTCTTCTGTCCATCGACTCTTCTTCTGTCGTCCCTCTTCGGTGGCCATTCTTCACGTGCCCACGGGACAATGGGAAATACCGTGGTTTGGGTCATGTGTGCCTCAGTCCTCAAAGTCACATCATTGCTGGTGTTCGGTTGGGTGGACCTAGAAAAACAAATTCAGTGACGCACCTAGATGTAGAGAGCTTTAGATCAAGAGCGAATGGTGACTCCAGAGACCAGCCCAGCCCAGACCAACTCAGGTCCATAAATCCAATAGGAGCCCACAAGTCCCTCTTCGGACTCACGCAGTCACAAGCCGTGATGCAGAATGCCGGACGATCCAGGTTGTGGGTGCAAAGTTGTGTAGATCCAATGACCGTGGACCTAGCGGATCTCAGAGTGGCCCACCAGCAGGGAGGGAAAGGCGGAGAGAGAGGAGGAGGCTCCCAGTGTGGGAAACAGAAAGATTTCTCCCAAGTTGTCTCCCCCAAATATATCCCAAACTTAGCTGCTTGCTACACATGGCGAATAACTATACACTTGGAGGTCAACAGAAGTAGGTCAGGGGTTAGTCATTCTCCCCAAGGGTTATCAGCCATCGAGAGCAAGCAGTCACCACTGTTTATCCCACAACAAGTAGGACCCACTCCCTTCTGATAAGGATAGTAGTTGACTGTTTCCTTGTAGGAGACCCCTGAGAGGCCAAGCCCACCCAAGGCTGACCAAGGTTAGGCCGCCATCATGAATCTAGGGTCCGCCCATCTTGTTACATGTATACCTCTAGTCTCCCCCTTCCTATGGGCACACCCTAGCTCATCCCCTTCCTGCCAGGCTCATGCCTACCGTACATCCCCTTCCTATGATGTGTATGCCCGTTGTGCTGCCCCTTCCTGTGACGTGTGGTTACTTGTATTCATGACCCCCTAAGTAGTCATGACCCTTGGTTAGCAATAAAGTCCAGCTCTCCTGCTCTCGCTCCCGGGGTCTCCCCACGAGGACCACCAAGCAGGGCTGTGGTGAGCATGCCACCATGAATCGAGTCTGACTCCATGACTTCAATCTCTCGTCTATCTCTCATGCGCTCCATGACTTCACTGTAATCGTTACTTATTGTCGCTGTAATTGCGCCTACCGGACCAGTGGTGATGTGTTGGGGGTCCTCCTTTCCCGTTCATCCCAGGACCTACCTTAGGAGAGGGCTGTAGTGGCTGTATCCGTGAGCTCAAGGTGGACAGGTATTGTGAGGCTGGCGCAGGGCGAGGCAGTATTTGACTCAGAAACGAATGGAGGGCATCTAGCAACACCGCCAACAGATGCCCCCTTAGAACCTGGTTCTTGGAGTGGATTAGCCGATCCCCAGCCTCCGTCTGTCTCTAGCATCTTTTGTGTCTTGCTGCTTGACTGCAAAATTGCACTTTCCCCAAGAATTCAGGGAGAGCCTCACCCGAGCCCTCCCAGAGCACCGGCAATCTTGATGAGCAAAATCACACCGGGCCATCCTCCTCGTCTACCAAGTTCCAGCCCCTCATGTGCTTTCTGTATGACTTCCCCAAAGAGTGGCCTTTGTGTCGCTCTCGTTCATTTCACCCTCAAGAGGATGCAGACTATCCTATCCCTTTGTCGACTTGGAATCATCCAGGGCCCTTCTCCCTCACGCCCCACACCCAATCCACCGGCTGAGTCCATCTGCTTTCCCCCACGATAGATGAGACCTCACTCAGAAAAGCAAGGCGCCTTTGATGGTGTTGGGAGCCCTGGAGGGCTGTGAACGGAATAGAGCTGTGACCCAACTCCAGCGTGCACGGGTGCCCTCTGGAGGTGGTGGGAGACCTGGGTAGGAGCCAGGATGAGGGCCAAGGGGCTGCACTGGCCCAAGTGGGAGATGATGGACCAGACCCAGGAGGAATAGGTGGGTTCCGAAGAGATCTGAAGGTGGGGTTGACAGCACCTGCCGGCGTCTCACAATTTGATACGTGAGCCACTTGCCTGGGGTCCCACAGCTGCTAACTGCTGAGCCGCGGATGTTTGCCCTGGTGGGCTGTGGGTTGTTCCCACGTGTGGGGACTCGGAGTTTTGTTCTGTGAACAGCAGGAGCCTTGAGGATCTGATTTTAATAACAGTACAGCAGCTGCCTGGATGGGAATGGATGAAAAGGGGGTGGAGGGCTGACCTTGCTTTGGCCCCTGTGATCTGGAGAAGACCCCCCACCCCCACCCCAAGCTGGCCCCACCACCACTGTTGCTGTTAAGGGCTGTACGTACAACAGAATGAAACCCTGCCGGGCCCCGTGCCACCCTCACACATCATCTGGAGCCCTGGTGGCGTCGCGGCTATCCATTGGGCTGCTAACTGTGAGGTCAGCAGTTCAGAACCACCACCCGCCCTTCTGGAGCAAAACGAGGTTTTCTCCTCCCCAAGGGTCACCGTCTCAGGACCAACCCTGCCGGGGGCAGTTCTACCCTGTCTTGTGGGACCCTTAGGAGTCGGAAGCAACCTGCTGGCAGTGATTTTGGTGTTTGGGTTTGTTTGCTGGTTTTGTTTTTGTAATTTTTTTTTTGTTTTGTTGCTGTAATTTCATGAAGGAGCCTGGTGGCGCTGGCTAAGTGGTGGGCTGCGGGCCGAAAGGCGGGTGGTTCGAAGCCACCCGTCCTCTGCAGGAGGAAGTTGAGGCTGGGTGCTCCCATAAAGATTTACAGCCCCCAGGCCCCCCGGAGGGTCGCGTGAGTCAGGATGGCTTGATGGCCGCGGGGTTAGTTCATTGTCATGACCACAGTGTCATTCCCACCCACGGGGTCTATCTTCCAGCACGATCTCAAACGAGAGTCCGCTGCTGTGTCCCCCGGCTGGTCTTTATGGGAAGTACAACCCCGGGTCCTTCTTTCTAGTCTGCCTTAGTCAGGAAAGCCCCAAACCAAACAGAAGCTCACTGCCATCAAGTTGATTCGGACTCAGAGACCCTACGGGGCAGGTGAAACAGCCCCCGCATTTCTGAGACTGTAGCTCTTGACAGAAGTAGAAGGCCTGACTGTTTCCCACAGAGTGGCTGGCGGCTCCCCCAACGCTTCGCCAGCTACACCCCCAGGGTACCTTAGTTAGGAGACCTGTCCACCGTGGGTGAGCCTGCGGGTACTCAAAACACCAGCGGCACAGCCTCCAAGAGGCGTGGTGGACCCTGCAGCATACACAGGGGGAAACTGAGGCCCAGGAGGGCAGCGCTTTCTCAGTGGTAGGGAACTTCAAGACCATCCCTCTGCTTGCCGGATTTCCCCGCCTGCGCGCGGAATCTCTCAGGAAACAGATCTGATGCCCTTGGCTTGCACTGGCCAGAGGTCCCGGCCTCAGGCCTCTGGGGACCAAGCCCATTGGTGTGTGGGAGTCTCTCCTCCTGCTCCCCCTCCCAGGAGCCCTGACAGGGCAGTGGTTTCATGTTGGGCTGCTAACTGCAAGGCCAGCAGTTTGAAACCATCAGACAGATGTTCGACTCTCGTCAAGAGTGATTCTCGGAAACCCTCAGGGGAGTTCTCCCCGTCTTACGGGGTCTCCCTCGATAGGAGATGGAATCCACTGGGTGGCAGACCGTGTGGTTTAGATTTGGCTCCTCCTCCACCCAGCCTCTTCCTGAGCCCTGCCCTCTGCACACACTGCCCCTACTGCACCCTGGAGATGATGCTGGCCATGAAAGGCAAGGTCAGTCCTAAAGGTGTCCCCTGGCCAGCTCCCTGGCCCTCCCCCCATTCAGGAAAGGGACACTTGAAAGAAATAAAAGCGACCAGGCCCCCTGGCAGTCGGCATGCGTTCTTCTCACCAAGCAGCTCAGGTGGCCTGGGGGCAGTGCCCTGCCCTGTGTGACTCAGGGCCAGGGAGGGGACACAGTCATCTGTCCCCTGCCTGTGCAGTGCCAGCCCCCACAACGGAACGGGTCCAAGGGGTGGTTGTGTCGTTGAGGGTGAGATGAAGGGATGTCAGACAGGATGAAGTGTGCAAGTGCTCACCTCCGGGACCGCCATGGCTTCAGGAGCCAGGTCCATGCAGAGAGCGTGACTGTATTTCCAATCACGGCTTATACACGCTTAGCTCCCTGGTTACAGGCGACCACACGCGTAACAGTAAAGGGTTGAACACGAGGCATATGTGCAACGGGGGTGGAAGGGGGAGGAAACGATCTAGGGGTGTGCACACACTAGGAAGGGGAGGCCTTAAGGGTACACATGCGACAGGATGGGCGGAGCCTAGGGTCAAGACGGCAGCCTGACCCTGGTCCTCCTGAGTGGGCTGGACCTTGTCTCTGGGCGCTCCTTCAGGGGAACAATCACTGTCCTTATCAGCAGGGAGTGGGCCCCACGGAGGGTGGGACAGATTATAGGGTCTGATTGCTCTAGATGGCTGATAACCCTCAGGGAGAGAATCTTTTTCTTTTTTAAATCGTTTTATTGAGCGCTCTTACAGTGCTCAGTACAATCCATATATCCATGGTATCGCGCGTATTTGTACATATGTTGGCATCTCTCTTTTCTAGACAGCTGCAGTCTACCGAGCCCTTGGTATCAGCTCCTCCTTTTGCCCCCCTCTCCCCTTGATAGATTCTAAATTATTCGCATGTCTCACACCGACCACTGTCCCCATGGTTTCCGTGTTCTTTCCCCTGGAGGGGTGCATGGGGTTGTGTGTCCATCAGTTCCCCCTTCTTACGGGGGGACAACCTGGGAATCACCTGTCTCCCACACCCGCCCCCCCTTCTGTGTTCCCAGTGCTTCCTGTCCCTGCTGCTCGTCGCCCTCGTCGAAGTCACCGTGGCCACAGTGGTCCTTGCGATCTTCCCCATCGTAAGTACCGGGCAGCTGCTCCCCTCGGCCCTAGTGGCCACTGCCCTCCCCTCCCGCCAGGGCAGGCGCCGATGCCCGGACACCCCCCACCCCCAAAGGACTCAGCGACTCCAGGGGGTAAATCCAGTCCGGGGGAGGTGTGGGGGGCACAGGTGCCTACCTCGCTCAGTTACTAACCCGCAGGCTGGTGGTTTGAGGCCACCTCGGGGCGCCTTGAAAGAAAGGCCCGGCGATCAAATTCCCAAAAGGAGCTTCGGAAAATCCTGCGGGGCGCTTTCCACTTGGATGCTCGCTGGGGGCGGGGGTGCCCGCCAGGAGTCGGGGTGGCCAGTTGACAGCCAGCGGTTTGTCCTGGGTTTGGTGTGGAGGGAAAGTTACAGGTGGGCGTGTGATTGGGAAAGGAGCCCCTCGAGGGGGGCCGCTTGGCAAACCCCGATCACGTGACAAGAGCCTGGAAGCTCTGTCCCAAGGATGCGGCACGCAGGTACGCACCCACAGGCGTGCACACGCGCTCACGAAGACAGTCACCCCGGGGTGGGCCTGGTGGCGTGGTCTGTGGGGACGAGGGACCAGAAGCAGTCTGGGGGCAGATTGGTGGCGACACAATGGAAGTTAGGAAGAAGGGATGCCTGCGATTGCAGTGGACTGGACCCTAGGATGGAGCCCTGGGCACAGATCAGAATTCGGGGGGCCCTTGGTGGATGGGGGGTGGGGGCAGGATGTGTTTGTAAGGGAGACCGGGAGTGAGGCACGCCACCCGGCTGAGTCCTCTGGGGACCTCTGGTCTGCAGCAAGGGACCCGCACCTCACTCATCCCACCTGACGGGCCAGGGGGCTGGGGGGCTGGTCCACCATCCCCAGCAGCCGCTGGTTAAGGGCTGTTCCCAGTGCACACTAGGGCCCAGACGCTGCAGGTGGAAGCCGGGCAGCATGCACAGAAGCGGGCCACCAACACACAGGGTCGCCAACACCATCGGCTACCGCCAAGAAGCAACATGAGCAAGGTGTCCCCCGACGTACAAACCGGGCTGCCACTGAGTTGCCCCCAACCCGTGTCCGTGGGAGGATGGGTGCTCCCTTGGGCTCTCCGAGACTGATTTCCCAGAAGTCGTGTGTACCGGGCCTTGCTTCCAGCACCCCTAGCTCCAGTCGCACCATCAGCCTTTCCCGAGCAGCCAAGCGCAGGGACTGGTGGCACCACCCAGCCCCCCAGCCCCCTCAACACACATGCAGAACGATTCGAGGATGAGACCAGGAAGGGAAAAAGACAGCAACCAGGCTTTGCTGTGACACACACAGACTGTCTCTTCTGGGGACACAGGAAGTGGTGACAGTGTTGCCGGGGAGTGGGAGGGACTGTCCTGCCTGGGAGACAACAGTGGGAGGGAGACTTCATGGTCCGTCCGTCTGTGTTCGTGCTCCTTGCCAAACCACGGGACGCGATCACCTCTTTGGGAGAGAGAAGCCCCCACCACCACCAAAAAAAAGGGGTGGGAGGGGTGAATTTCAAACCTTTATTGAAAGACCAAAATAATGAAAATTTCCCTTTATGTGCAGAGCACTTGGCTTGCCAAAGATGATATTCAATTCTTTAATCAAGTTACACCCCCACCGTGGGTGCAGCCGACGTGTGTGGGCGATTCCAAAGAGCAGATGATTCAAACCCGTGTGGGGGTGGGGGTGCGGGGCGACCAGAGGCACTGGCTGGGGACCCACCATCAGCCCTGCATTGGTGGCCGGGGTCTGTCCTCCCTTCCCTGGACCCAGGGTGGGGTCTGTTCTGCCCCCTCACCTGGACCCAGGGGGCTGAGAGTAGGGAAGGGGGCGGAAGCAGAAGGGATGCCCTGTGGTCCCAGCTCTCCCTCGAAGAGTCACCTTTGTCAGGGAGGTGTCCTTGAACTTGCCCCTGTGCTTCCTTGAGGTGAATGACCTGGCCTTGGAGCACACCCTGGCGACCCTGAGGGAGCATTACAAAGGTTACAACGAGCCGGACGACTATTCCGCAGGATGGAACTTGGTCATGGCCAAGGTGAGATGCCTCGGGCCTTGGGGTGGGTGGGTAACAGAAAGGGCCCAGCGGGAGAGAGCTCCTGCTGGATTCTGAGCACGTTCAGATTGGAATCTCGGCCTGTGGCATCGAGCTCAGGATGGGCAGGCGGCCACTCGACGTGGGCTGGCCCACGTCCTGGGCTTGGCTGCTCGTGCCCCAGCTGGTGGATCACGCACCCACCACGCATTCTCACAGCCCTTCAGTGAATAAATGCCGAACTCCTACTGCATGTCCCAGGAGCCCTGGCGGCGTAATGGTTACGCATCAGGCCGCTAACCGCAGGGTCAGTAGTTTGAAGCCACCAGCCCATCATCAGGGGAAGGATGAGGCTTTCTACTCCCATAAAGGGTTACTTCTCAGAAACCCACAGGGGCCAGTACTTCCCTGGCCTATAGGGTCCCTGTGAGTTTGGGCTTACTGCCTGCCCTGGTGGCAAAGTGGGTTGTGACTTGGACTGCCAACCACAAGGTCAGCTGTTCAAACCTACTAGCTGATCCTCAGAAGAAAAACAAGCAGAAGAAAAACGAGCCTTTCTGAGGCCTCAGAGACCCACAGGCAGTTCCACTCGGCTCTGTCCTGAGACTAGGAGTCATGACGCAGTGGCAGTGAAGGGGGCTGTGTCCCCAGCCCCAAACAACAAAACCCCTGCTCTCTTGGGTGGTGGATGCCCAAGGTGGGGAGATGGACATGAGACCAATCAGTCACTGGTGTCAGGGGCGATGTCTGCCATAAAGAAAGACATGTGCCTGGAAGGGCTGTTAGCCAACTAGTTCTAGCACACAGTAGGATGCCATTAAGTAGTGGTACTGAGCGACTGGTGAGCGGAACTCATCAGGTGCACTGCCGGAGAAAGTTGTGGCCGTCGTCTGCCACAGGTCTTGGTCTTGGAAAGCCAATGTGGTGGTTGGAATGAACTCCCTGGCGATAAGTTTGGATTTCTGTTTTCGATGAGGATGACTTTACTGCCCCACTTCTGGTTAGCTGGGAGAAAGACGAGGTACCGTCTTGGAAACCCACAGGGGCAGGTCTACCCTGTCCTGTCAGGCAGCCAGGAGTCAGAATAGACCCCGTGGAAATGTTTGGCTTTAGTTTGGGGCTCCTTACCTGGGGTCTCGTGACAAGTCAACGAGCTGTGTGTGACCAGGCAGAGCCTCCAGAGCCTTCTCTTTTGCCTCAGCCACAGGAACATTCTAGAGCAGTGGTTCTCAACCTTCCTCAAGCCGCCACCCTTTAAGTCCAGTCCCTCAGGTGGTGGTGACCCCCAACCATAAAATTAATTTCCTTGCTACTTCATCACTGTCATTTTGCTACTGTGATGAATCGGGCGACCCCTGTGAAAGGGTCGTTCAACTCCCAAAGGGGTCGCAACCCACAGGTTGAGAACCGCTGCCCTGGAGGGTGACAGCTCCGTCCACCCAGGGGACCGGAGTGACTTTGATGAGCCCACTTGCCCTGCCAAGTCCCGGCGGGCCTGCAGGGTGTGAGATGGCAGCTGCCGAGGCCCAGGGGATGTTTGCTACTGCCGCATACCTTCCCCCAGACGGACTGAGACCAGGGTGTGGCTCATGTAGAAAGAGGGGCCAGGGCAGGCCTTTCTGGAGAGGCACATTTGAGCAGAAACCTGCAGGAAGCGAGGAAGGGAGTCAGTCAGAGAGCTCTCTGACTGCAGAACATTCCAGAATGAGAAAGGGCAAGCATGAGGTGACCTAAGGGCAGGGAGGTAGTGAGGGCAGAGGGCCCAACCCCTGGGGGCCCCCAGGGATGGTTAGGAGTTCAGCTTTGACCCCAGGGAGGGGGCCACCGGACCACCAAGAGGAGCAGTATTTCTCAGGTCCTGCAGCGCTGCGGCTGCCCCCGCCACGGTAGCCATGGGGACCGGGCGGCTGTCACTCAATCGTGTGAGAGGACAACTGTGAGCATTGGCTCTCTTCCTCCAGCTCCGGTGCTGTGGGGTGAATAACTACACGGATTTTGTGGGCTCCTCCTTTGAGACCATGACCGGCCGCGTCTACCCCCGGAGCTGCTGTAAGTCCGCTGGGGCTACAGCCTGTGATGGCCACAGCGTGTCCAGACAGGTCATCCACCAGAAGGTAACTCAGCACATGGCTTGTGTGCCCCCTCAGGGCCCTCCGGGGTTTGGTGACTGATCAAAAATGACCTTCTTTCCTGGGGAGCCCAGCAGGGATCGAGGGAGACACCAACAGCCAGGCCCGTTTGGGTTGTTGAGTCTTGTTTGGACAGCAGGGTTTTGGGGAGTTTCATGTTAAGATCCCCCTTCCACAGATTGGGAAATTGAGGCTTAGGGAAGGGATGGGGCTGGTTCAAGGTCACGGGGCTCTGACAGAGCTGGACAGTGGCTGCAGGCCTACAAGTCCGCAGAGAGAGAGAGAGAGGAGGGGCATTAGAACGACTGATTTCATAATGACACAACAGCCACCACAGGGGACTGAGCCTGCCCTGGGTCCCCGACCTGGTGCCAGTCACGTCACGAGGCCGTGTTTCATCCTCCTAGGTGCGGACGGTTCTCTCTGCCATATGACCTAGGCAACTGAGGCACGGAGAAAGCCCATGGCTAGGGAGCAAGGGAACTGGGTTTCAAACCCCCCTCTCACTGACGGCTGCTGCCTGGAGCTCTCGGGTTTCTCTGAGGGAAGGAGTCAGAATCATTCATTCGTTCATCCCTTTGACAGATTCTGGACGGTTCCTTCGGGAAGAATCACTCAGGGTGGGTCCCAGGCCAGGGTCTCCCAGACGCACAAGGGGGCCCCAGAACAACCTGTCCATCACCTCGCTGAAGCCCCACTGCAGCCACTCTGGCCTCAGACACACGGGGCACCCCCTCTCCCCAGGCCATTTGCACACGCTCCTCCCTCCGCCTGGAAGGCTCGTCATGCCCCAGTCTGGCCATTTCCTCAGGAAGGCTATGCCTGGCCCCCCTCTAAAAAAGCCCACCCCCACCTCCATGCCATCCCTTCCCAGGAGCCTCGGTGTGACTCAAGATTCTGGGGCCCCATTTTCCCCGTCGTGAATGCCCCCCACCCCCAACTTCGAGCAGGCAGAGGCTCTGTTTGGTTTCCTGCCCAGCTCCTACCGCCCAGCCCCGGGCACCCAGGAGGCATGTAATAAGCACCCACTACACAAAGTAGCAACAGCATGCTTGTGACAGCTCAAGATTGTAGAAGCGAGAAGCACCAGAGGCCTAGGAAAGAGGACCCGGGTCACCACAGAAAGGGCAGCTCAGGCCTCGCTGTCCGTGGGTGTCTGCTCACCTCATCTCTTTGAGCCTCAGCTTCCTCACCTGTGCACCAGAGAAGACTAGCCCCCGTCTCTTGGGATTGTCGGGAGAATGTGAGAAAATACCCTGGGTGGTAAATCCAAAAGCATTGCTGCAAACTCTTTGAAAGCTTTAAGGAAACACAAGTCTCCCAACGGGAAGCTGTGATTTCTCCACCCACGCCGGCCTTCCGGGTCCATGTCTTGTGAAGGCGGTGGTTCCTCCTCTCTCACTGGATGATCGTGGGTAATGCTGCTGGGCTGCCAATCACAAGGTCAGCAGTTCAAAACCACCAGCCCGTCTGCTGGAGAAAGAGGAGACTTTCTATTCTGGAAAGAGTTACAGGCTCAGAAACCCACAGGGGCAGCTCAACCCTGCCCTAGAGGGGCACTAGGAGTAGAAGGGGCCTGAGGGCAGGGAGCTGTCTTTTCTGCTTTGCCTTTCCCGGAAGAATTCTGTGCTCTTTGATCGATACCTGTCAGATGGCTGTTGGGACGTTCTCGAGGGACCAAACAAAGCATGCTGGTGCTACTTTGTGTAGTGGGTGCTTATTACATGCCTTCTAGAGAACTAAGAAGCTTGAAAGGACTAGGTCAGGGCTGCAGGCTGGACGGAGTCAGTCTGCCCAGTAAATGTTCTAGGAGGGTACCCTTGCTCTCTTTGAAGAAACGAGCAGGTGCTTTGCCTGGTGGAGGCAAAACATATTTAATATATAAATATATTTGAAATATATATTTGGTATATACATATATTTGATAATTATTTGATATACAGTTATATTTGATATACAAATATATTTGATATATATTTGATATATAAATATATTTGAAATATATATTTGGTATATAAATATATTTGATATACAGATATAGTTGATATAAATATATTCGATATATTTGATATATAAATATATTCAATATATAGATATATTTGATATACAAATATATTTGCTATATACATATATTTGATATACAAATATATTTGATAGATGTATATCGGTGTAACCTTCCCGGCCTCTTTCTCACCAAAGCAGCTTTCAGTTAAAAAAAAGACAAAACTTCTCCCTGATAAGTCCCCACGATCATCCTGTGTCCTGTGAGAAAAATCTATCCAGATGACCTCTTTGGAATAAAAACACAACTGCAACAAAAGAGGCATCATTCCCTCCCGAGTGGACCCCTTTGCCTTGAGTTTACGGTCCCAGAGATCCTTCCAGAAGCAGCTGCTCTGAGTGCACTTGGAGAAGGCCCCTGGCGTTGGTGCATCAGGGAGAGAACTTGTCTGCAGCCCCCTCCTCCTCCCAGAGGTAGCTTCACGGCATGCGACAGTCTAGCCAGGTGCTAAGTTCACGCCAGCCCCTTTTGTTCAGAAAGAGCACTCCCGGGACCCCGCTGGTGGCATGGTCACACGCGTTGGGCTGCGATCCGCATGGTCGGCAGTTCAAAACTACCTGCAGCTCGGAGGGAGGAAGACCTCCTGTGGACAGTTGCAGTCTCGGAAGCCCACGGGGGAGCGCTCTGAGTCGCCTCGGACTCGATGG